CATATTTCAACAGAAATACGTTTCAAATTCATCTTGTAAGACGGCTCCGGACGAACTACAGCTGTACGTGTTGTATAAGCTGCAGAATTTCTTCTTTCATCATCTGCTAACTGCTTGGGTGTAGGTCCCAATGAACGTGATGACGGACGTGTAGTAAGTAATGATGATGATGGATTAACTAAATAGCGTGAGCATGACTTCGATCGAAGCAAGAATAATATTGAAATCATTGATAACGAAATTGATGTATCACTAGTTACCTAAATAAATACAAAAAAAGATCTTAGTAAATAGATTAAGTACATACGTATAAATATTGTAACTTACTCTTGATTTCCAAAAATTTGATACTGTCGGCGAAAGTGATGAAACCAATACATTTGATATCGTTAAGAATGAAAATGAAAACATAAGAATCATCATGATGACAAATACCTAATATAAAAAAAAGAAGTTAAACCCTTATTTCATACTTATTATAAATTAACATTTTTTTTCTCACCTTTATTGCTTTGCTTCTATCGGCTTTATTTGAAAATTTAAAAACCAAAGATTCACCAATTTTTTGTTTGACTTCACGATCAGTCGCCAAAGCCAATATCATAAATATACCAAATAAAAATCCCACATTCATCAATACAATGAAAATAATTTCCCACATGATTGATGGAATAAACATGTCTTGTATATTTGAATTGGTTTGTTCTAATACACGAAAAATAAATGTTGCTAATATTAATGATATGTTTAAATATAAAATATGCCGATGAATGTGTATTGAAATTCTAATAGTTGGTGATAAACGTGTATCAAACAAAGTTATTTCTCCTGCTGCTCTAGCCCTATTTGAATAATTCAAAAAGAATTTGCTAATGGTTCATTTGCTCTTAAACCATAAATCAGTAAAATAAAAAATTGTCCAATATACTCACCATGAGTATTGCAACTTCACGTAAAGTAAACCTAAAATTAAATAATTAAGTTCGGTGATGAAAGTGAATCCAACTAATGATAGCCACTCTCGAACGTTATCAGGATCAACAATTATGATAAGCGATACTATTTTTATTAAAAAAAAAAAATTATGAGTATATTTAATCCTAGCAGCAGATAATCATAAGAAATTTTAAAATTAATTACCGAGAGAACTGAATGCGATTCCCGGTAAACTATACATATTTGGATTTTCAGGAATAAAATCCCGTGAATTGAAGAAGCAAGTTATGGCATATATCGTATATAAAAATATTGCACCAAATGTTACTCCCCAATTAATTGTCCATGCTA